TCGCTTGTCTCTAAACTCCCCGTTAAAAAGGCTTGCGGTCATGATGATATAGCAAACGAATTGATAAAATGGAGTATAAATAACTCCATTAATCATTTCATTAATCTATTCTCGGCTTGTTTATCGATCGGATATTTCCCTAAGGCGTGGAGACATGCCACCACAGCCATTATACGCAAAGGGGATAAAGAATCTTATTCTGCCCCTGGGTCATATAGACCAATTGCGCTACTCTCCTGCCTTAGTAAACTTTTTGAAAATGTCATAACGAATCGGATCACATTCTGGGCTGAAAACAATAATATCTTACCAGAAGGCCATTTTGGAGGCAGAGCTAATCATAGCACAGATGACGCCAATATCTTCCTTACCACTTGGATCAAACACAAATGGAGAGAAAAGAACGTTGTCACGGCACTCTTCCTGGATGTCAAATCTGCTTACCCTACAGTAGTCAGAGAACGAATGATAAATACCCTGATAAAAAAGAATGCTCCTACATATCTTTCCGCCATAATAGATAGCCTCCTATCAAATCGTACCACCTCAATTAAAATGGAGGATTTCATATCTTCCCCATTTGAATTGAAATGCGGCCTTCCACAAGGATCTCCTCTCTCCCCTATTCTATACATCATATATAATTCATCTCTCCTTATCGACAACCCTTTACACCTAAATCAAGATTCCATTTCTCTTGGCTTCATTGACGATGTCACTCACCTGATAGCTAACAGAGACATCGACACAGCTGTCCGTATGTTAGAAAACGAAGGAGAACGATCATTACAATGGGGCTCCACCCATAACGCTATCTTTGATAAAAAGAAAGCTAAATTTATGATCTTCACTCATCGCTCAGTTGAACCTATTTCATTGAGCTTTGGGGAATTCTCTCTTACCCCAGCAATCAATACCAAATACCTCGGGATCATTTTTGACCCTAAGTTATTATTCACCGACCATCTCAAAAAAGTTCGAAAATGCGGAGATCAAACAGTAGCCCAATTGATTCGAATATCAAGATGCTCATTTGGAGTTGGCTTACAACAATCTAGAAACCTGGTTATCAGTGTTCTTAGATCAAGGATTCTTTATGGAAGTATGATCTGGACTACCGAAAGAAACAAAAAACAAGTCAAGAAGGAGATTGATAGAATAGAAAACCAAGCTAACAGAATGATCTTAGGATTATTCCGTTCTACCCCTTGTACTTTTCTTAACTGTGAAAGCCCACTAATTCCGTTCTTTGATGTGCTCAAAAGGAAAAATCTCCTTTATTTCATAAAAAAATTAACAGCTCCCTTCCAACACCCGATCAAACGCCTCTTAAATTCAGATCTCAACAATCGCCCCTCTTCCCACCCATCGCGATCCACAACATGATTGACAGATTTCTCACTCACTCAACATCAACTCGATCGAAA